CCTCTTGCACAAATCCCTGCATCCACTGTCCACATCCCCATGACCCTGCACAGGATCAGGCTGAGCTTTATTCCATCATGAAGAAAACCAGCCACACTAGGTTGTGTGTAAAGGTGCAATCATCGAGTGTAAAATCACAAACATGTCACAATCAGAATGTTTTATTGCCACACGTGTGTGAGAAATCACAACATTATGAAATTGCTGCGGTACTCGGTGCAAAAAGAAAGATAGAAATAGAAGATAAGTAACAATATAATCATGATAAAACAATAATATGGCAGCTACTGTATACAGCTAGATGTCCAGCCTGAACCGTGCTGATGTGAGAAAACCAGCGTATCTTTCTAATTATTTCATTGGGACAGCTGGGAATGAAACCAGCTGAGGTGTGTGTGAAGCAGGAGAGGATGGGTACGATACCTGTGACAGATGGGTTGCTTCTGTATGAAGCCCAGAATTATTTTACACTGTGACCAAAGATGCCATTATTTGGTGTAGGGATGAAATTACCTGGAGCACTCCTACCAGGAAACAGGGAAACGGTTTATTTGAATTTGCATGAGTGAACTGACTAAGTAAGAAAGGTCTACTCAAGTTCTTACGTTAAAGTTCAGTAGACTAAAGCACGCTGATAATAAAGACTATGTAGTTTCATAAATAGGAGTGGAAACACTGCAAAAGCACACACACACCTCACTACCCCCACCAATGCCTCCCATCTCTGATGCATTAGACTGTTTTGCCTGGCTCCTTTCCCTTGCAGACAGTGATGGATCAGATTCATTTCATGGTGGTCATTTCCAGTGCTTCCAGTGCTATCTCCCATTTTGGTGGGTGACAGAGGCAAACTGGTCCCCACATATCAGCCTACAGTGGGGCAGAGAAGGAGGTGGATGGAGAAGTTGGGATTCTATGCTGACTGAGACTTCCTTTTCTCACCATGAGGCTTTAAATGATCACCAATAATAATGAAAATAGCTTTACATCCACAAGCACGTCCCGTTGACTCCATGACGAGTGTCATTTTGGGGGAGAAGCTACCTGGAGGTGTTTAACTTCACTTGCGAATAGTGAGATGGGTCTAGATTTTAAGCAAATGTCTCACTAGAGCTGGAATTGGTGCACATTTGTCAAACTATATTTATATTTTATCCCAATTTGTTCATCATTTATCATTGCATTTTTACATTTGGTCACCAATCCTTCAAAAATGTACTTTTCTCTTCATTTTTGGGCTGATGAAAACTACATTACAAACCATTCCATGTTGGTTCCCTTCCAGAGCTAAAAACAAATCAATGCCACATTCAGAACAACCCCAAATATTTTTGAAACATTTTGGAAGCTCTCTTGCAAATGTCTACAATTCAAACTACAACCCAGAGTTGTCTGAGCTGAATGAGAGCGTAAGTCGCCACGGTGTTCTTCTTATTGCTGTTTGTTAAGAGGATTGGAGAACGGAAGTCAGTTTTTCACTCAGTGGGAAGTTTGATGAAGCGCTGATAGTCTGAGGCATGTGTTGACCCAGATTAGCATATTGATAGATGCCTTTCACCGAATGAAGGCTGGGAAGCTTTTTTCTTACAGCTGAAATGCTAAATTTTCAGTAACACGGCTACGTTTCTAGGGGATTGGGAATGACTGTTGTGGAACTTTACATTTTTAAATGAGAGAACTCTCTAGTGATGACATTCCAGCTGCCTAACCCAACAGCTGTTGATTTTCAGTGATGTTATGACGGACACAATATAAAATTCACTTTTACAGCTTATTTGATGTTCTTTTGTCCGTCTGATTTTCCTCATTGATTAAGTTGTGAATAATTGTCAAACAAACAAACTAAAGTCTCAGTTAGCACGAGTCACGCAAACATATGTCAAAACTTCTTTAAACCATTCAAACATTCAACAGAATCCAAAGTTAAAAATCCATTTCCTTCTGGCAGAACAATTAGCTGGAAATGAAATGTATAAGCCTGGAAGTGTGCTCGGTGTCAGTCTACAAGCCTGGAAACGGGATTGAAGTCGGCAGGAGACTCAAATGATGGAACTGAACCTGAACCTCCAGGCTGGGTTTTCCCAGGAGGGACGAGTGTCCTCCAAGTCTGGAGGTGGAGGGAAGGAGAGATAAACACAGCTCTGTGTTTCTAACGGCTAATATGTGTTGATAAAGTGGCCTCGTTCAAATGAATTCAGCTCATGTATCACAAGCTGGAGGAAATGGAGGTGGAAATAAACATTAAATCAAAGAAAAAAGAAAACGAGAACAAAGCGGCAAGTAGATGTGATGAGATGAGAGAAAGTCAGCGCTGTGAGGATGAAGATTAACAGGAAGGAGAGCAGCATGGCACTCCAAACTGACACACAGCCACAGGACACGGGCTCCAATTAGAGTCACAGCAACGCTAATCAAATGCGATCTACAACCTCTGGATGCAGGGCGAGCGCGTCAATGCATTCACACCTCCACTCACAGTCACACTGTGCTTCACATATATTATAATCCACCTATTTGCTGAAAGGTTTGGGTTATACAGGTGCTGGCCAGTAAATTAGAATATCATCAAAAGGTTGAAAATATTTCAGTAATTCCATTCAAAACGTGAAACTTGTACATTATATTCATGCAATGCACACAGACCAATGTATTTCCGATGTTTAATACGTTTAATTTTGATATTTATAGGTGACAACCAATGAAAACATCAAATCTGGTATCTCAGAAAATTAGAATATTCTAAAGGCCAATGAAAAAATGTTTGTTTCTCTAATGTTGGCCAACTGAAAAGAATGAACATGAAAAGAATGTGCATGTATAGCACTCAATACTTAGTCGGGGCTCCTTTTGCCTCAATAACTGCAGTAATGCGGCGTGGCATGGACTCGATCAGTCTGTGGCACTGCTCAGGTGTTATGAGAGCCCAGGTTGCTCTGATAGTCGTCTTCAGCTCCTCTGCATTGTTGGGTCTAGCGTATTGCATCCTCCGCTTCACAATACCCCATAGATTTTCTATGGGGTTAAGGTCAGGCGAGTTTGCTGGCCAATCAAGGACAGGGATACCATGGTCCTTGAACCAGGTGCTGGTGGTTTTGGCACTGTGTGCAGGTGCCAAGTCCTGTTGAAAGGTGAAGTCTGCATCCCCATAAAGTTGGTCAGCAGCAGGAAGCATGAAGTGCTCTAAAACTTCCTGGTAGACGGCTGCATTGACCCTGGACCTCAGGAAACAGAGTGGGCCAACACCGGCAGATGACATGGCACCCCACATCATCACTGACGGTGGAAACTTTACACTGGACCTCATGCAACGTGGATTCTGTGCTTCTCCGCTCTTCCTCCAGACTCTGGGTCCTTGATTTCCAAAGGAAATGCAGAACTTGCTTTCATCAGAAAACATAACTTTGGACCACTCAGCATCAGTCCAGTCCTTTTTGTCCTTGGCCCAGGCGAGACGCTTCTTGCGCTGTTTCTTGTTCAAGAGTGGCTTGACACACGGAATGCGACACCTGAATCCCATGTCTTTCATGAGTCTCCTCGTGGTGGTTCTTGAAGCGCTGACTCCAGCTGCAGTCCACTCTTTGTGGATCTCCCCCACATTTTTGAATGGGTTTGTCGTCACAATTCTCTGCAGGGTGCGGTTATCCCTAGAGCTTGTACACTTTTTTCTACCACATTTTTTCCGTCCCTTCGCCTGTCTGTTAATGTGCTTGGACACAGAGCTCTGCGAACAGCCAGCTTCTTTAGCAATCACCTTTTGTGTCTTGCCCTCCTTGTGCAAGGTGTCAATGATTGTCTTTTGGACAGCTGTTAAGTCAGAAGTCTTCCCCATGATTGTGGTGCCTTCAAAACAAGACTGAGGGACCTTTTAAAGGCCTTTGCAGGTGTTTTGAGTAAATCAGCTGATTAGAGTGGCAGCAGGTGTCTTCTATATTCAGCCTTTTCAGAATATTCTAATTTTTTGAGATACCAAATTTGGAGTTTTCATTAGTTGTCACTTATGAATATCAAATTTAAATGTAATGAACATTGGAAATACATTGGTCTGTGTGCATTGCATGAATATAATGTACAAGTTTCACGTTTTGAATGGAATTACTGAAATATTTTCAACCTTTTGATGATATTCTAATTTACTGGCCAGCACCTGTATGCTCAGAATCACTTTCCAGTCATTCAGTCAGAAGGCCCTTAACTCACAGCAAAAATCAAGCAACGCCTATTCCTTTATCTGTCCATCTATTCTGCAGGCCTGTCAATCAGAACTCAAAGAAGCAATTTTAGATGTCATATCAAGGCCCCCATGAGGAAAGGAAGAAGAAAAAGGGGTGAAAATGTGAGACAGTCACATATTTTCTAACAGGAAAAGGACTGTTTGAAGATCTGCATGGTGATGCCGTCTCTTTAGAATTGTTCTCCAGCCTTCGGCCGGGAGCAAGGTGAGGAGTAGAAATGTAGCTTCCAATAAAGTTAAAGGTTAACGTGCCTTCCATATGTCCTCTAGCTTGTTCAAGCAGACATCCCCCACCCTCAGCCCATCTTATATTTTTTGCATCAACATATGAACAAAACATTATTACAAGCCCAAGGCCGTGTCTGTACAGAAACACGTGCACCTTTTCTGCTCCGCTTATTGAAATAATAAACTTTACACGTTTCACTGTAACTGAGAAACCATGTTGTTTAGCATCTGTAGCACAAATACAAGCGCGCCATGCGTTTTTGGTGTTGCTATGCTGCATGATGTTTTAGGTTGCATTCTGGCTGTCAACACAAGAGCACACTGGTGAAGTCTCAGTTTGTTTTTACTCTGGAAACGTTTCAATAAAACAACGTGTTTGGGTTAAATTGCAGTTTCCACACAAACCCGGGGCTGATGTTTGCATATTCACTAAAGCACGGCAGTCATGTGGATGAAGCATAAAAATAAGCAACCAAAGGCCTTAACAAGGACAGAACGTAGGTTGATGCCGTAGCACATTAGCATGACTCAGATAGTTTACCTCGGTGTCTTTGGCCACCCGCCTGGCTACAATCAGCTGAATCATTCCTCTCTTGTTGCCCTCTATCGACATGGACCTGCGGAGTGCTTCCATAGCATCCTGGTTGGTCATCTCAAGTAATGACTCCCCGTTGACAGCAATGAGTTGGTCGTTGACATGCAGACGTCCATCCTGCTCACAATCATGAGAAAAGTCAGATCAGGCAAAAAATAATACATGGGGTCACTTATGAACACGGTCAACGTTTATTTAAAGAGCAAGTCACCCCTTACAAGAAGTGTACATCACTCCCACTTCATGTTTGAAAAATGCAACAAATGCTGTTGCCTAGCAGACCGAGAGGGTGGAGCCACTAACAAATACACACACTCACGACATTGTGACATCATAATGTACCAGTTTACATCATAGCATACCTCTTAGCCAATAGCAATGGCAGATTTAAATTCAATTGCAGTGCAGAGTTTTTACCTGACAACGGCACAACACTGACAGTTTTAGGCAGAATATTTTAATTTGAACTAAAATGCACTAAAGTGCAAAACTATTGACTACATGTGTCTGCAGCACGATTAGACACACATTTATGTAGTTTATCAGAAAAAAAAGTTGATTTGGGGGTGACTTGCTCTTTAAGACCTCCAGGCATCACTGAGTGTTTTCATTATGAGAGTGAAATAGTTTTGCCTCCCTAATAATGTTCCTTAATGTGTTGAAATTATGTAGGAAAATGTCCTTAAACCTTAAAAAGGTTTCATTTTTGAGTACTGTAAATATACCTTAATATTTAATTAAATAATGGCAATTAGACTCTTGCTTGAGTGACATGTGTTGTTCACCTTCACTGCCCTTGATTTATAACAGAAGCTTTGTGTGAAAACAACAAAATCCACTAAGTTAATGGTTAGAAGATCAGCAGCTGTGAGAACAGAGGAGTGGTCACTTGCCTTGCTTGCTGCACCTCCATTAATTATGGATTTTACGAAGATGCCCAGGTCAGCTTGGTTCTCCTTTGACCGGTTACCCTTGACGCTGACCCCCAAACCTGCTGAGCCAGAGTCATTCAGGGGAATCTCGAACGTCATAAACTCCCGCGACCCATCCTGGGTTAGCACCACGTCATCTTCCTCATGCTGATGGGGGCAGAACAGAAACACAGAGATAGAACCTCTAAAACGTGTGGTGAACAACTTTTCTGGGTTTTCATTAAAATAAACAGTGAAAGAGGTCGTAATCCAAGCACAAACCAAAAACTGATCCTGCACACAGGTCTGGTGACGGCACTTACTTGGCTAAGTTGATCAAATGATGCTGATGTCCTCTGATGCGTTAGAGAACAAGAAAGAAAACAGCGAAGAAGTGAAGAAAAGTAATAAATCAAGATCAAATGCAGCAAGTAAGCAGAATAGTTTAGGTTGTATTATGAAGCTAAACTTCACTGATTTAACCCCATTATTGTGATGCTGGTGTAGAAACAAGCAAGGCAGAGAAGAAATTTAACTCATTCACTGCCATTGACAACTGAAGTCGTCATTTGCATTTTTGTACTGTTTGGGCATCGGAACGAGCCCCTGCGCTGAGAGAACAAACATCTCAGCTCTGAAGCCGATCTTCATCTGCATACGCCACACGTCACATAATCAGGAAGCAGAACATCCATGTGTTAGGAGATCGGTTTGGGCCGTTCCTGTAAAAAAAGTGAGGAGCGAACCACAAAAGTGTCTGCCGATCACAATTCGACAACGGATTATGAAAGAACGGATAACGCTCGAAGCACGTGGATTCTTCCTCATGTAAGAGGTGAGTCTACTCTTTGTTTTGGTTGTTTTGGCGTGGACATCATCCTAGCGCGCAATGTTCTGTGACTCTTAAAAAAACAGTAAAAACAGTGAGAAACACTGGCAGCGAATGAGTTCAAAACCTCAAGTAGCAATTTGATCACCTTGTTTGAAAATAATTTAGAAAAAAATTGATCCTCCGTGTTAAACGCATGACCGTCTCTTCTGCAAAACCAAAGGGCTCTTCGTGGAAAATTTTTGCTTAGAAGTGTGTGTACTGAAACTGTAATTTCCCTCTGGGATTAATAAAGTATCTTTTATTGATTTGATTTGTTTCAGTCGGGGCTGAAACAACCTCCTCTTTCAGATTTAACAGTAAAATGATGATGATGATCGCTACAACGATGCGACAGAATGAAGATAAGCTTCTAAAACTGTATAAATTAAAACAAGTATCATAGTTAAGGCAACAACTTGATTTTATGAATGTATGAGATGTACTTCATCCAAATGGAAAAGGTAAAGAGGTATATTTGGTTGGTTGGTCAATGTTAGTACAAGCTACTGAGATCACACTGGCCTGCTTTAGTTCACAGGGTCACTGTGATTGGTCCACCGGTATCTAACATGTGATTGGCTGTGCCGTACACGTGTACTTAGTGACAGCAGCTGCACTCTTATGAACAATGCTGTTACCATCCCTATCCTGACATGCGTGCACACACAAACCCACATAAATGCTCACCAGATGGATAAAGAGGGAGCAGAGGGGAGAAGGGGATGATGGGACGGGAGGTGTGGGTTTTGTTCCCCCCAGGCTGAGAAGTTATTAGGATGCAGTGGTGCGTTCAGGCAGAGGCTCTTTTCAACACCATCTGACTGCGCCCCTATCCTCCATCAGGCCCTCCTATCAGCCATCCTTTCTTTCTCTCTCTGCTTTTTCCATCTTCCTTTTAAAACTGCTGTACACCTGTCAGTACAACAGGCTTAGACTGTGACTGGACCCTCAGAACATTCTGACCACTGGAATCTATTTAATCATACTGCATTTCAGCACCTCGCCATCTATCACAGAAATCACCACCGCTTGTCAGGAAGTGACCTTTTGCCTTACCTCAGACTGCTGAATGAAGCAGACAAGGGCTGGAGAAATTAACTAGTGAAAAGGAATGTGTTACTGAGGAAAGGGGGTGAATGTAATCTGTGAACAACGGTCACATTCCTTTTCCTGTTTCATGCTGACAATGACATCATTTCTTTAAGCTGTGGAAGAACGTTGACTATAGAGATGGGTCAAGAGATACAGTATCTGTTGTGGAGAGAGAATCAGTGAATGGAAGGTTGCATGTGTCACTGGAACAAGCTCGATCAGAATTAAGAACAAACAGCTGAGTTTTCTCTCTTCCATGGACGGCTGCAAGATACAGAAGCAGAATGTTCTGGAAAAAATTAAAATATATATCTGTGCATGGGCTGGAAAGAACCGTGTGTGTGTGTGTGTGTGTGTGTGTGTGTGTGTGTGTGTGTGTGTGTGTGTGTGTGTGTGTGTGTGTGTGTGTGTGTACGGACACGCTCTTCCAAAACGATGACAGAATAACCACCCACTCAAAGATGAGTTCTGGGAATAGAAGGCCGAGGCAGAGAATGAGACAGCAGTGTAACGTTTTCGTCAGACAGGAACAAGCACCGCCGGCCAAAAATGAGTTTGTCAAGCTGCCTGACAGGCCTTATTGCACTGATTCAACTCAGGAAGAGCTGGATTCAACTACCTTTAGGTTAAAAAAAAAAGGAAATAAGCTCACTGTTCCAAGCTCTGCCCAATGTATGCACCAGGGACACAAAGCATAAAGGTACTGACAATCAATGAACTGATTTAAAAACTGAGAAAAGGTTACATACTGGAAAAGAAAAAGTAGAAAAAAGGCATAACTTACTCTCAGAACAGCAAGAAGGACCCCCCCCACCCCCCCCACCCCCACCACCCCCCACCCCCACCCCCCCCGGAAAAGCTGAACTCAGGAAGTTTAAGGCTTTGGAAAAGTGTTCACTACTCGTGACTTTTTTCTCTATAACTTAAAGAATACTAAGCAGTTTTGGTTGCTTTTAGCACCTCCTAGCGTCTGTTATTACGTATCTGTGGTCAAAGCAAAAGTGGAACTTATCTCTTCTGCTGACGTGTCTTCTCAGCCTTCATTAGTATCTCCAGAATACTGTAGATAATAATGATGAATCTGACAAATCAGCTGTGTTCACAATCTAAAACATGCAGGAAAATGTTTTGGAAGCAGAATGCAATGCCAGGGTTGAATTTTTTCCACAGGTGGTGGACTGGAACTCTGAAGTTGCAAATGCGGTAATGTAGCCACAAAGGGCGGCGGGGGTCTGGGTGGCATTTCATTAACCCTGTAAAGGCTCATGTTTGCACATACTGGCTCAGTAAAATGATTCAAAATTGTGAAAAAAATTGTGAAAAATTATCCCTTTAAACAAATCTAAAATAAAATGTTGGACTTTAAAAAAAGCAGTTAACATTTTAAAGAGAAATCATCAGAACAAATAGTTTACTTTTGAAAACACCAACATGTCTGTATCCATTTTATAACTCAACATAAACTTTACCTTTAAATGATGTCATGATTCATGTGATGTGACCTCATCGTTTCTGCGTATAGACCCCATAGGCAGGAACACTCTATCAATAATTAATAAGTTTTGTTTGGGAAAAATCATAAACCCCTTCCAGATGAATGGGCTAACAGTGGTTAGCACTGTGCTAACACACAGGTGTATGCTCCAGACTGACAAATCTGCAGCTTTTGTAGAATCAATCTTAGTTGGTGTTGATCAGTTAACCAACACATTTCATCATCAGCACCTTGCTTCTAATTTTCCTCTTAAAACAGCAAAAGACTTTCAGAAATGATAGAAATCTGATCAACGGTCATTATTATGTCCAGATTTGTAAAAAAAAAGTCACATGTTTTTTCTTTATTTTACTTTTTGTTGGCAGACTCAAATGGCCGTCATGAGCAAACCTCATAACAGTATTGTTCAGTAGTACAGTCTTATTCCTGACACAAAATTACCTCTAGAGTATACACCACACACTGCCTCATTGGATTTGTGTTTTTAACACTCACATAGCGTGCATGCCAGATTATATGCAAATCAGCTCAATGCATGGTAATTAAACGCTTTGTTCAGGTGCTCATCAAAAGAATAAGACTTAATATAAAGTCACATTCAAGTGGAGTGGCTGTGAGATCATTGTTATCATTATTCCCTCAGCTCAAGTGAATAACCATTATCGTAAAACTACAACAAAAGAAGCCTCCTTCACGTTCCTGCTGTCCACTCTGACTCAGCGGTGTAGTCAAAGCCCATTATTCAATTAAGATTCATTAATTAATCCTGCGATGGGCCAGATATTATGAATGGGGGAGGGGAACACAGAAAGCGTTCTGCAGAGACACAGGCAAGCAGCCAGGGCAGAAAAGCTCTAGTTCTATCATGTTTCAGTGCAGTTCCAGCAAAGCCAAGACCTTGGGTGCCATGTTAACCAAACCCAATTTTTTGGGGGGGGGGGGGGGGGGGGGGGGGCACCCAAGTGCCCTAACCCAACCTGCCCAGAGAAAGTCTGTCCGAATTCTCCAAACCAGATTTCATTGTGAAGTTGTGATGAGTGAGTGAGTGAGTGAGTGAGTGAGTGGCTCAGGTAAACCAGAACCGTCATAACTGCTTGTGCAAATGTTTTGTCCAAATCTCCTTGGATGTTCTCAGAGCAAGAAGGGCTTGTTGATCACAGGAACTGGGCAGAAACATCCCAACAGCAAATACAAAGCAATACAAAGAACAGCTAGACGGGCAGCTGCCTGACACCGGAACCAGCTTGGAAACTAAAAATAGAAGAAAAGAAAGCAAGACCATCACCGTCACAAGGATTTGTCTGCCTGTTAGACCTTTCCCTTTTGTGAAAACCTTGCTTAACTCATCTCAAGCTGTGAGGAAATATGTGGCGGACGTGTGCAGGTGTCTGCCTGAGAAACGCAGTAACAAAAACTCCTCAGGGGGGATGCAAGAGAGAGAGAGAGACAGAGAAATTAATCGTAATTACCTCTATTCACACAAAAATCTGACTTCTCTGCACATCAGTGCCTAAAACAATTAACACTGCTGGAAACTTCTTTCCACACTTGGCCCAATTTGGTGACATAAAGGTCATTGGAAATTAATCTAAAAAGAGCTAAAAGAAATCAGCCATGGGTGTAATTACAAAAGAGGTGCATGCATGATAAGTATTGTAACACAAATTTCTTTGGCAGTGTTTATCCTTGTAACATTTTCTGATAAAGAGACTGAATATAAAATATCCCTAAGCCTGTAAAAAAAACAAACTCAGGTACAATGAGGGCATGGAGCACTCAGCCGGCTTCAGCAGGCTTAAGGATTCCTCATTTCCTCAGTGGACAGTTCAGCAGTGTGACAGCCTGAGCTCCATCCACAGAGGGATGTTCTAATGTGAAAGCTCATTAGCAGAGGTTTG